GCCTTTTCTGTGTACATATCTTCGGTTGGGATCGTGTATATAAAAAGATACAAGACAACGAATTAACTTTTATGAAGAAAAACAAAACATTTGATTGTCTACTACACTCACCCAAATATAAATGTTCTCAACAGCCAAGAGAATTGAGATAACAAGTTTACATGATGTAAGGATGACCGCAATATAAATAACATGTATTCGTTTTGAATCATCAGTTATTTTCTATGAATAGCATAAAAATGAGTTATTAAATTCATGAAACATTACATCCTTACACAGTGCAGAATCATATCATATATTGTAAAACTACAAATTATAACCATTAAAGTAAAGCACAGACTAGAAAATGCTCGATAGAAAATGGATTCATTCGAGGATTCATCACTTTTTTGTCTTTCAGATATAGATGATGATTTTGATGAAATCTTGTTAGAATTCATCATGACAAATAAAGATAAGATTGTTAGCAATAAAAGTTGAGTAAATCTCTCTTTTATATAGTAACAATAATATTATAATCTATAATAAAATAATTCATAGATTAAGTGAAAATCACTCTAGTTCATCTACAGATTCATTCATCTAGTCCACTCTTATCGATCTTACTAATATTTTCTAATCTAATCCTCAGTGGTTAGATGGAAGAGACATGTAGATTAGAGATGTGTGGGATTAGTTCCGGGATCGAGACCAGCAAAAAAAAATTTGTTCAAAGCGACATTAAAGAATTTTCAATCATTTTAAGCAAATTATCTCATAAATCACACCGATCAAAACAAAATTCAGGAGAGATCACCGAAAAAGTGACGTTTTGTCGACTAAATAAGTCAAAAAACGAGTATTCAAGAACATTTTTAGACTTCAAGATGAGTAAATTTTGAATAGTTATCTTCAGACCAAGACCGAGACTAAAGACCTGAGTAGAATTACCGTGACCGGGATCGGGATCATGAAAAAAGTAACTACTGATACAAGATCGTAACCAAGACTAACACATCTTGCCCCTCCCCCCCCATCTCTAGTATAGATTATTCTATTATTTCTGATTAAAACAATGATAGATTTATTTTTCATTTGCATAGACAGTAAAGAAAGAAAACAATAGAATATACAGTTCTAATGAAATAGTTGATGTTTCTCTCTTCAAACATAATTTAAATAACAATATTATCTTTTTTCAAAATATTACTATTGAAGTATACATCGTATCAACAATTTTATCTGTTTCATCCACGTTTTCTTAAATCGAAGAGAAGTGAAGAAGAAATGAAAACAGACAAATAATTTTTTATTTAATTGTTCTGTTCATTAATTTGTTAATATTAATTATCCACTTTAAATTCTTTCCTCTACTATTTCAAAGACTTTTTTTTTAGAAAGATTTTAAAACTTTTCTAATTGAAGTTGTAATTATTTTGTAATAAATATTAAAACTAGCATGAAGATTCCAACATCTATTAAATATTATTTTAGATTTAAAAGAATATTCATTCTCCTGATTTTGAATGAACATAAAAGTTAGAAATTATCTTCAATTGTTTCTCTAACAATATCTCAATCATAATAACTGTAAGAGAATAAAAAGAAATCAAATTTTAAGATACGTTAATCAAGAAAAATATGACAATATTAAAGTTAATAGAAGGGATGAACATATTTTTACATAATTCTCTTTCTTAATCATTTAAAAATGTATAATGCATATACAATATAAAGATTAAAATGAATGAGAATATTTTAATTTGAATTCTGTCAAAAGAAAGAATTCATCCATTTTCATGAATGATATGTGTTTTCACTTGATGATAGATACTATTATATATTTATTGACTTAGATTAACATGTAAAATAATCAAAATGAATTATTCTAGCATAAATATAATCTAAAATGATTCACAAAAGACTATGATTTAATTGAGTGTGTCGTATTGAATTAGTTTCCTCTTTTAAATACAAAAAATATACATATAAGAAGAGTAACAGAATAAATTTTGTTTTATTATCTAATCTTTATCTTTGTTATTTCGTATAGACATAAGTCAAAAATATACAGTCTGACTTAAATTAATCTAAAGATGTTTACGAAGAAAATCTCAATCTTTCATTTTTCAAAAATCATTTTCCATTTTAACTGATGAACAAAGAAGAATGTGTAGAGAAGTAATGAAAAATTCTATCAACAATATATTTAAGACTATAATGATAATCACGAAGAGATATTTACATTCATTTATTGAATTAGAAAGCTACAAAAATATATTGACAACATGTTATGTACTTTTTTTCACTATATAAAATGAACTAATCTCTTCTCATATATATGAAAATCATTAGTTATGAATATGTATGTTTTAGAATTGACGATTTTAGATAAGATGAAAGCGAAACTTACCGTTTTTATTAAAATACAAATGAGATTAAATTTAGTTTAATAGAATGAATTTGAATAAATATGAAGATTCCTAATCAATCAAATCAAAACAATTCTATTCAATTTAATTTCTATTTCTGATATATCGAAAATAAAAGTATATCGATGAATAAAATTTATTCTGTCAAACTCGATGAAGTTAATTATTTTCTAAAGAAAAAAAAACAATCAAAACTTGATTTTTTGTTTAAAAAGAATTAATTGTAAAGAACTTCTTCATCTAATAATCTCTTCAACACAATAATTCTTAACTTCTGTTACTTTTAATAACTTAATCTAATGATTATAAATCATGAATTTCTACATATTTCAAATAATAATAATACCATTCTAGAAAATAAATATTTATCTAAATACTCTATTCGAATCTTATAGAAAATAAAATAAATTTAAGAAAAATTCATTTAATATGAAGTTCAATCTGAAATCTCGTATTTCGATTTTAATTTTCATTTCAAAGAAAAAAATCAAGATATTTTATATCTAAAAGAAATAAATATAGATGATAATTTTCTATTCGCTTGCAAACTCCACTAATATATATGATAAAATATAAGAAAAAAAAAAACATAAGATAACTGTAAAAAACATTTCATAAACTCAATATAATACAAAAAAAGTGAGAATACATACATACTCTAATCATAACGACAACAAAAAGGAAAATATTAGGCTATCTTATTAGAAAGAAAATAAATTCCTCTCATTTTGTTGTTTAACAAAGACATGATGACTAGTGCATCAAAGATCAAAGACCAGAGGTAAAGTTAGTTTTTAAAAATATTCACATGATTTTTTTTAATTAAAAAAGTTTTTTTTTTATAAAGTTTGACCAAAGGTGTGGATGTGGGTTGGCTATGGGTTTACGCGTGGCTGTGATGACGAGAAGATCTACCCACACCCATTAGTTATTTTTTACTCGATCTGTCGCTTTCTGACTGTTTAAGGTTCTTCTCTTTCTTCAAGATATGAGTATATGAATGGGAAATGCAAAATCTGTCTTGAGAAGTACATGCATGCTAGTGTTGGTCGTAAAAATATTTGAGAATAGCTTTTTGATTATGTGCTTTCAGTTGTATATGGAAAAATAAAAAGTGTACATTTATTTGTATGTTTCATTTTACAAACTACTTTTATTAATAGATAAGTGTGGTTGTATACGGGGGTGGGTTTGATTGTGAAAATTGTCTTCAACCACAGCTCGCATGGATGCATACCGACATCTATAGATCAGTTATTCTTCAGAATGTGGACAGCGACGTTTTGCTTTCACTTTCCAGGAAGTAAAGAAATTATCAAAATAGCATTAAAATGATGTATTTCAAATTCATCGATTAAAAGAGACATTTTCATTAATTTCACTGCATGATTTTGATTAAAAATGAACTTCACTGCATCTGCTTAATTAAAACGTCACTTTTCATCAATGAATTTAAAGAACATCAATTTTTTTGCTTGTTTCATCATCAGAAATGCCAGTTTTTCATGTTTTTGATATGAAATTCACGAAGATCATCAATGCCTTTTATCATTTTTTGACTTAATGGGATGCATGTATTTTTTCGTATCTTTTCACTATAATAACGTCCCTTCACACATACCCTCACAAACAGGATGAGATTACGGTTAAAGTGAGAACTATCGATTTTTCAATCAATAATATATCTAAAACAATAGACAATTTTCTACTTTTAATGATATCGATTGATAACCTATAAAACATGATCCGGTAACAAAGTGTGTGATACATTCAAATTTAATGAAACTCAAAATAATCGGATGAAACCAGCAGTAAAAATCAAGCTGATTTTTTTATCCCAAAACTATTCGATGCAGTATATAAATCTCAACCATTTCTTAGGTTATAACCAATATCTTGATGCCAAAAATCTGTACAAAGGGTATAAACTCTATATAAAATGAGGCACAATTTTTTTAAGACAAAATTTATACAAAAATTGACATGTCTATCTATTTTCTTCATGTACAGATTACAATTATTCACTAATTAATCAAATAAACAAATAACATGCGATACAAAAGTAATGAGACAAATATCGGCCCCCGTTTCTCGTCGATGGAAGAATGCTGAAAGTAGAACTTTTTTAATCGTACGTCCACAAACGAAACAACGCAACAGGAAAGAGGAACACTTAAAAAACAGGTCCACATTTTTTTTTATAATATAACAGCACAAAGCGCTGATCCCAATGAGTGCCCAACAAGTTCTGACTACATTTGTATGATAAATATTTATATACTAAAACATGTGTTTGTAAATTTGTCTCCACGAAGGAAAGATGCAGTTAAACACACGCCTAGAAAATTTTGTGAAGCACATTTCTAAGCTTATAACTTTCTTACTGCATGAGCTTACAGGAATCAATATATAGTCATTTTGAGACGCATGTTTAACTGCATCTTTCTTTCATAGAGACAAATTTACAAACACGTGTTTTAGTTTATAAAAATTTAATATATAAATCGATTTAGGAGTTCTTGGCCACCTTTTATCGTTCAACCCGTAATGAGTATGTAATTGAAAAGTGAAAAGGCGAAAAAAAAAGATTTATTTGAGATTAGGAATAAGTAAATCATAACTAACACATTGTGTTCCATCACAATGTTTATCGGTGCCTTCCAACCACAATCGAATTCTCAAATCGTTAGTTCCGATCTGTTGTTGATCAGTTTGAATCAGTTCAGGATGCAGATCTCGATTAGAATGTGAATGAATCGAAGGTTGTCGGCCACCTTTATCTTCTTGATTGGATACTGGATCAACAAAATTTTCTTTGGATGGAAAACAATGAAGACATCGTGTTTGAACGATAGTAACAGTCGATGATAGTATCTTTGAACACTGTTCGAAATAACACCAATTTCGGTTTGGACGCATCTTTTTATAAAAGAATTTTTTTCCATTTTCTGGATTTCGTTCAAAAAAATCAATTATTTCTTCTTCAGTATTATCGACTGGAGTCCATTTAGATTTGAATAAATGAGCAATTCGAATAGCCATTTCAGATGGAGGCAGATTGACAATAGCGGATGAGATAATCTGATACATTAATTTAGCATCATTGATCGGTAATGGCCGATGAGATCCTCTGCTTTGAAATCTACTAATGGCACAACAATGGACATCACCACTAAAATATGTTATTCGAACTTTTTTCTTTTCGGAAATTTGTTGAAAACGAAGAAGAGCACGATTTCGCTCTTCAATGTGATCTCTATGAGTCCATTCATCGAGAAGATCATCGTAAGCTTCAGGTAAACCGAAGATTGAATTAGTTTGTTTGACAAAAGGAAGCTGTCGACATTTATTCGGAAGATTTTTTAAATGTTCAAAAATTGATTCAGCGATATGAATACGAATAAACGAAAATGGAACGGGAAATAATACGATTAAATGTTCGACATCTTCAAGGTCATTTTCAAGTTTATCGAAAATCATATCCCAAGTTTTTTCATGTTGAACAGTTTGTATATCTCTTTCAGATCGTCCATCAATGCCAATGATCGCTAAATTTCGACTACAACGAGCGAAGAAATTATATGCTTGATATCCAAACAGTTGGTGTTCTCGAGCTTTCTCGAATGCAGTGTGATGTTGAAAAAGAAGTCGCATTTTTTGTGCCACTAGAAACAGTCCCATCATCATTGGACTGTCGTGCAGTAATGGAGGATAAGTTCCAGCTCCATCGAAGATATCATGATCATCCCACATCATTAAACTCGGAATTGATGCTAGAGCTTTTTTCATTTCGGGACGACAATCCCAGTTTTCTGCATAAGCATAGAAATAATATTGTTCGACTTGTTCTTTTAAATCAACTCGAAAATCACAAGTCCATTTCTCATTCCATTCCATATTAACCCACTCACGAAGATATGGAATATCTTGAAAAATAAAGTCAATATAATTTTGATCACCACCCCACAATAATATGTGTAATGGAGTTTCTTCATGAACTGAAAGGAGATGATTCCAAACATTTGAATATGTCATGTTTAATGGTACTTGTTTCGAAACAGCGACGCCAAATCCATTACATGAAAAGAAACCCCCACGCCATTTCTGATCACAACGCGCGATAATAAACGAACCATCGGTTTTTTTATCGCCCCAATCAATTTTCCAAATGACTTTATCGTCACCTTCACCAGCACGTAATTCAATGAGAAGATTGACACGATAAGCACGCAAATTAAAAAGATTTTCATATAAAATTTCCCATTTATAATCGACTTTTGTATCACAAATAAATTCTATTTTCGGTTGATCAAACGAAACATGTCGAAAGATTAATGCGCTACCGATCCACAACATTTTTTTTAAATCAGTCGAGATAAATTGAAAACAAGGTCCTAATTCAGTTCCAGGAGGTTTAGGTGGATGATTAATCACAACTGATTCAATGGTAGCTTCAGCAGTTGGATCCATTTCAGGAATTTTTGATGTTGTTGATTTTGGTTGTGGATAATCACCCATGAATTTAGGATGGATATTAACTGGATTCGGTGCATTGACATCCAAATCACCGTTTTCATATTTTACGCCATTTTCAGTATTGTTCCAATTTCCATCTGCCATCTGACTTAGATTGTATGAGCATTCAAAATTTAATTTTATCAATGAAAAAAAATGTTCAAGAGTATAGAAAGAAACTCGTCATCGATGTGTTCTACTTTATTTGTCGACAATTACTGATTGCTCTTCACATTTTGGTTGCTCCGGTGATGGAGAGAACAACAACAAAAAAACGACTACTATAGCAAAGCAGAATGGTTGGTATAATATAACTCGCGCCGACAACATTCTTTGTCGTTCTTTCGCTTACACATGACATAACTAGTAGTAAAGAATGAAGGAGAACTTCTTAGCAGTAAATATTTTTAATTCCTCGTCAGATATGATTCAGAGAGACATGAAAAGCTGTCTATTACTTCTCGTAAAACATTGCCTAACCACCATAAATGACGCTTCTTGTTCTTTATAAATAATGATTAACGCTAAATAACAAAAAGTTATCTAGCTCGGAAATAACTAGATCTCCAGATTAATTTCTTTCAAATATTCAATTTGGTAGTCAGTATTTTTTCAGTTTGAACGATAAACAGTTTTATCATAGTTCAATTGATTAATATCTATAGATCCCAAACTTCTAATTCGTGACTTCTAACTAATTTGAAATTAAGATTTCGTTTATTAAGTAGATTTTTAATTCTTCTTTTTACAATTCAATTTAAACAGAGAAAAGAAATGTTGATGTTTTTATGGTATATCTTTATTTTCAGTTCAATTGATCTTTTTGGTAACTCGATGATGACACGGCTTGTCTAAGTATATGGTTAAATGAGTTTGAATTAGTGGAGAATAATACTGCCAATATGTGATGATATGAGTGCATAAGAATTATTTCGATTTTCCATCATTTATTTCAAAAATTTTAGCAAATAGGAGTTGAATCGAGCTCAATAAACTTGTGAAAAATGATAATGCTTTCGCTTAACCACAAATCTATTAATAGTAATCCAATCTTTTTCGAAGGCTTTTTCTTTTGACTTCGCCTGAGATTTAGGGTACAAACCTAAACATTGATAATACGCTACTTGCTCGTCAATGATTTAAAATAAAGGGTGTCATTAAAGACAAATAACTGAACCAAATATTCTATTGGTATGCTGTAAGTGGTGATACCATTGGAAAATACAATTGATGGAGAATTGTTAGAGTTGGAGTATTGACAAAAATTGCTTGAATTCACTTAGTATGAGATAATGAATTACACGCTGAAACTCAGCAGAAATTCAAAAGTTTTGTTACCAATTATTTGGCTGACAGTCATCGAGCAATGTGGTACTAGTGAAAATATATACTAAAGGTTGAAAAACTAAATGAAATGGAAATAAGTTCATCATGTTCATGACTATACTGACATTCAAAATAATTGACATAAGACATGCTGATTACATTTAGCGAAATAAAATGAATGTAAGATTTAAATTTGGATTATTGGGCGATTAAGAACTGTTGTGTTTCTTACTACACAATGTAACCATGACAATTACATAATTATTTTGTCTTTCATTATTAAGAAGTCTACATAGTTGAAACCACATTATTTATTATCTCAAAAGATGAAATAATTTGTATGCATTTACAAAAACATTCAATAAGAAAAATTTTTTATGTTGGAACGTCGTTTTGTTATGAAACACGTTCAGACGTTATTTTATTTGAAAGTATGTATGACAGTGCATGAAAAGGTTATTGAATGTAATCATATTTACTTAGATATAAGATAATTATCAGATACTTTTCAAACAAATCTCACCAATCTCATATACACCCATATTTTAATTGTACTACACCTCTGCTTATATTACAACTGTTTGTTTCTAATACATGCCATTGACTAAAACAGCATTGAATCCTTTTTAGATTCTCAAAATTTAAAAAAAAACAGTCTGATCACAAAATGAAGACGCTTTCAATATATGCTTATAATTATATTTGACTCGCTAAGATTTCTTAAAGTCTAAGCATGCATACGTGCAATTCGATAGAAATCGAATTTATTGTGAAAAATAGTTCACTGTCTATCAAAGGTTCGCATTATAAGTTTTGTTCTCTTCTCGATGCCTTGATCAGCTCTATGTAACAGATAACATAACTGTAAAGTTTCTTGATTGTGTTTCATTTTCAAATTTGAGATTTCGAATAACAGCTGTTATTTCGTTGCTCAGTGTGATGAAAAGCACAAGACAAACGAAATATGAGTAGTTCATCGTTTCTTCACTTTTTAAAGCGTAAACCACACAATGATATAATATTGATGGATATGTTGAAAACAAATCATCGAAGAAAAACGAGAATCATCGACAACCTACCATAAATGTTTTTCTTCACTAATAAAATATATGGCCTTTCATCATACTTTATGAAGTGCAATAAACATCCATACATTTTCAATTTTTTTTCTGATAAAACAAAATGTCGCTTTAGTTATTTTATTTGATAACTTATTCTTAATTATCGTCTGTAGTGGTTTAGAAGACTTTTTAAGACAGTGCTTATTTTAGTTTTATTGAAAACTAAAAACCAAATTGCGGCATCTCTATTCAAGTACCGAAAATTTGATGTTGATTTTAACTTTCTTTTAAATATCTCTTTTATTGTGTCATAAATGTAGTGCTTCACAGATGCAGACAAATAAGAATAGAGAAACAGTATCCTAAACATTTATCTATTTATTTAATTTAAAAGAATTTTTTTAAATATTGTTTTATATGATAAAATATTTATTGAAATAGTTATTCGTTTGTTTCCTATGTTGCCAACGAAATAATGAAAATGACGCAATACTAAGGTATGCGTTTTATTTAGATATTGACGAAGAATAGAAAAGAAAAAGGATTGCACCATCACTATCGTCGAGCAGAATAAGTTGATTCTTGCTTGTGCAGTAAAAACGAACAAGCCGCGATTTCGTGTCTTATTCCGTTTGAGCCTGAAGCATACTTGGACAATGGAATGGCCGACTTTCGGGAAGGTTATTCCTAGACACGAAATTAACTCGATACTTGTTCTCTTGTTTTTTTAGTAACTTGGTTTGTTACACGTCGTGAAATTTTTCTTTGGTCTCTTTGACACTACAGGAGTTTGCCTCCTTCTTTTTCTATTCTCCATCTATTAGATGTTCCTTCTCATGAATGTTTCCGTCCTTGATTTCAGCATTCTTTTCACTCACCACCACATTCACATCCACACTCTGATATCTCCATCTTACCACAATGAAAAATGAGGTTTGCATGACGTTCGTGTAAATTGGAAATTTTTGACTGGATAATTGCTCATGTGAGTCATGCCCATGGGTCGTTCAGCTACAGGGACCTCACGTTTATAAGAACAATCTACGTTCCTAATCATGTCGGTGTTCAGTTCGAGCTCTAATTGCTGAAGTATCGCAACTCTTCTCGGAAAAGAAAGATTGTTTCAAAAGTTTCGTGTCACATCATAACCGTTTCTGGAAATTTGTCAAAGCTTATAAATTATTCGGCAAATGATGAGTTCAACAAGTTATTTTTGGTTAACAACCATAATTCACAAAAATTTCTTATAAAATCGGATAGGTTTGTTTTAAAACCTATCTGTCATGACCTACACATTTTCTTAGGTTTCAATGTGAACAAGTATATCGTTTTTGACATATTGTAGTTTGTCGCAACCACGATAGTCTACTCATTTGTATAGTATCATTGGAGACAGAATTTTTACATGTTACTTTGTGCGATAAACGTGAAAGTATTAGACTTGTTATTAGACGTTTTTCGCTAAAGAAAAAATAAAAACTTGTTTTTTGCAGAACAGAAAGGAGAACTTTTTAATTCTTTAGAAAGTGAAGAAAGGGCTTTGCTGTTAAACTGCTTGCCGTCGTTTTAGGACTGAGTACTCTTTACAAGTTGAACATTTTAATATAATTATACTTGACTTTGATGACTTTCTCACTCATATTTTCAATAAATAATATCATATTTATTGAAACTAATCCGAAAATATAGGCAACACTTTCTCAGTGTACTATTTTCAAATAATGAAAGATGTAGATATTTTGGTTTTAAGACATTGAAAATCTTATTTTTGACCCGACTGTTAAAGGTCTTGAGAATCCATACACGAAGCAAGCTAGCAAAAATTTTAGTTTGGAACCCAAAGATATTGTTGAATTACTCGAAATTAATTAGAAGAAATATAATAAGACTAAAGAAATACAATATTTTTTACATGACTGTTTGAAAAGAAATGAAAAGTGTTCGATCATTTTTCAGTTATCAATTTAGATAAATTTCATTCGAATTGTTCAAGCTCTTCATTCGTTACTAAATCACTCTGTCCGGATTTTGCCAAATAGTCTTCGAGAGCAAGTTTTGCAGTCTCAGTTTGACTTGTCGAAAGTGCTGATGCACAAAGGATACTATCACATGGAAATCTACCATCCCAGATCCATTTAAATCCATGTATACGACCTTTCATTTTTTTCCGTACATGTTTTATTAAGTAAAGTAATCTGTTTTTAGTCCATCCATTGACGTACTTTGTAGTATTCGTCAGCTATTGTATCAACAATTTGTTGCCAATCGAATCCAGTTTTCGTTGTTTGTTGCCCTTCGAAATCATGCACTATAGAAGTTGAATTTTCCTGCTCTAAAAGAAAAAAGACAATGATTTTTATTGACTCGATGAAACATAGGAAATTGAACGGGCAGAGCTTTTTAACCTGAATCGATCGCAAATACAACTAGGTTAACATTTCATAGAATACTTTTAGATTAAAGAATAAGACTTATATAGTGGCACTATGTGTCTGTGGGGATTTTCTTAATCAGTTCTAATTGTGGGAATATAAATTTAGAATATGCCCATTAATTCTCAGACAACGTACTACGTAGAATCATAAAAGATGTAAAATGCTGTTGAATAAAAGTATTTCATAAATTTTTAATTATTAACTCCAGTTTTTGTATTGCTTCCTCAAAACATGAGAAAAATTTTATCTACTAAATAAAATCGATAGCTTTTGTAGAAAACTTAATAAGATATTTTTAAAGATAACAATATTGGATTGTTTCAACAATTAAAGATGGTCAAGAAAAACATGATATACGCGCAGTCTCACTATGTAAGTCTGATAGGTTAACCGAAAAAGGATATTTCTTGAGGGGATAAAAATTCGGTGCAAACTCTTTATATTTTGTAGATATGGATCAGAATAGACATCAGTCTCTCATTTTTATGATCTTATGTGTGATGCATATTGTTGTTTATTCAAAGATTTCATCCTATATCTCTCTTTTAATCTTTGTAGAAAATGTCGAAAATTGTTTTGCTAGATCTTTAGTATCCTAGCTCCTTGATCATTTAAAAATAAGAAAAAAACAGTCTGAAATCTTTTTATTTTCCTGTGTGAGGTCGATAGTAATAAGCAAAAAAGACTTTTTCTTGAGAAATTTTTCATTAAGAATATTGGAAAACAGTTAAAAACTTCCGCTTTTTGCTGACTGTTTTAATGCAAAAATTTCCTCTTTTTTTTGTTCATCTGAAACATATTAGAATTGGTTTCGGATACTCTTATCTTGAATATTCACTCTTAATTCGACTGCGATATAAAAAGACAAGCTTTTCAATTTAGTTTCACATGTAAGAAGTAATGACAAAATTTCTTACGTAAACCTATTGAGTTATTAGTTGTGGTAAATAACGCTGTTGATGAAGGCTGTGCCTGCTGTTGTTTTCTCAGTATAAGTACAGTAGTCAACGTTAATCAAATAATGGACGCTATTACGATAACAAGAATTATTACAAGAATTTTACGTCCAGGATTTCGACTATTTATATCAGTCTCATCGTCATTTGAATGACGATGTGAGAAACTTCTGTCACTGATAAGTGAAGTAGAAGATGTGTTATTACTCATCGCAGAAATAGACTATGTAACTTAACTAATAAAACAGTCTTGATGCGCTAATGAACATGAGATAATATTGCGCATAATATATAATTATATATTTTTTTAATACTGCGCTTGATAATGTTACACTTGAAAGAGCTATATATATTTTTCTCATTCTACCCCATCACACCTTATGTGTTTTTGTTTGTAGTGTAAGTGACACACATTACGTGTTTTTTTATGATACATTGCCAGAATTTTGCACAACTTTATTAATAAGTAACCTTTGCCCATAGAACATGTTTTCCGATTTCTTCAAATCTTTTGGTAAACTTGGGACTTCGAATATCGAACATCAAAAAGATATCGAATGTCAACCATTACAATTATCAGATACTACTCAACGTCGTCATGTGCATTGTGAAGATGAATTTATTGTTCAATTAACCTTAATCTGGCTAGATGAAAGTGCCAACAAGTATTCTTTCGATTCACTACGTACAAAAGCGTTACTTCGTGATATTAGTAACAATAATTGTTTATTCATCGATGATGCTAATGAATTTCAAAGAATAATTGAAAAAATGAAACGTGAACAAAGAAAAATATTAGTTGTCATATCGGAATCGTACACCAACAAAATCCTATCTTTAACACAAGACATAAATGTAAAAATAATTATATTTTGTAAGAATTATTATAAAGATGCTGATTTTAAAAACCAAGACTCAAATGTTGTTGACATATGTACTAAATACGAGGTATTACAAAGTGTCTTATAACGTGGAGCTGCATCTTTAACATCTGACTTATTTATTAATCAAACATTGAAATCTATAAGACTTTCGAGAAAATTATAAATCAAATAGAGTAAATGATTGGTATATTAAAGATTCCTTTGTCTACCGTTTAATAAATCGAGCATTTCGAACAGAAGACATTACATTATGGTATTTATTTCGTTACTTTGTTATTGATCTTTGTAAACAGTTGGAAAAAGTTCATACACAACAAAATAATCAAAAACCTTTTACAGTTTATCGTGGTCAATCTACAATGTCAACAAACGAATTAAAAAAATTACGATCTAATCCTGACTGTCAGATTGCAACAAATGGATTTTTCTCAACGTCCAAAGACAAAAGCGTTGCTAGACAGTTTATTGCTGATGCTTAGAGAACTAACAAATTCGAAGTTGTTTTATTTGAAATAACCGTTAATGCATCTGGTCTTAACTGATCAGAATATATCTGAATTCAAGAAAACGACTAGATTCAGAAATAACAAGGTTTCAAGATGGTAATATTAACTTACTATTCGGTCAGTTGCTACTCGATGTGAATCAATATGTTCAAGTAGAGTCATATTTTCAAATATTATTACAAGTTTTACCAAGATCACACAAAGATTTGGCTTCTGTATACAATCATACTGGTGATTTGAATATGTATGTAAAAAATTGGAATGAAGCTTCGGAAGAATTTCAATTTGGCATATGAAATAAAATAGAAGAAACTATCTTTACGTTATCACAAGATTGGTATAGCATTGAACAAAATTGGTAATTATTATAAAGCTATTGGAAAGAATGTTCAAGTACTCGAATATTGCACAAAGGCTTTACAATGTAAACTCGGTCGATATAACAGAGCTATAAGGGTGTGGGTGTGGGTGTGAGGTGTGCCGATATGAATACTCGCAGCACCCACACCATACACACACCCAGACTATCAGCGATGTGTTGTATATAAATTAGATCGCGGACAGGGATATTAATTTTTTGAGAAAGAGTTGATGGGCTTAGTCATGAAAGTGTCGCAAATGTATTTGTGTTGTGTTGGAATGACGAACTCATTTGAAGCTGACAAATTTTTCGAGTACGGATGTTCTTTCGGTCACAGAGATTTGCTGCGTATCATATTGACCGAATTTGTTTTTTAGTATTTCTTGTGACGACTTTTTATTTTCAGTAAAGACTAGACAAGGTTGGTCAAATCGTAGATTGCGGACACCATTGATAAGTCGAGCACCTGCATCATTCGATGGACTCTCATTCTCTCGATTCATATCGGTGACAATACGAAACGTGCTACTCTTGTTGAGTCATTGTCTGAACTCTGATTCAAGAAAAGCAAGAGCCGCTTTTGTATTAGACTTACGAATGAAATGAACGTTTGATTCAGTACCAAATGTGGTTGCCTTTTCCATGTGCCTTTTGTTTTCCCATGTTTCATCAAAAATGTGCTCATCGGTCCACATGACCACATGCTTGCACAGACCAAGCTCCACCTATAAAACACCATTACTTAATCGACTTGTGAGGAGGAAAACAAAATTGACTGACCTGTCGCATATATATAAGATTTCTTCCGTTGACGATTTCTTTATGACATACGAGAAATGATGAATGGGGCAGAAAGAGAACTTCATCTTCGACGTCAGCACAATTTGAAAACTGTTGAATATGTCGCCCAGTAAGTGAATAAATAATGAAGACCGTATTGAGATCTCCACACCAGCCGGACTCTAAATCCCCTCTATTTGCACTACTGAACTGAAGCCAAGTAATGAGAACACCCGGTTGGTAGTCAGCAAGTTCTTCGGGTTTCAAGTTCACACGTCGATTCACCACATCCCAATAGTAACAGATGTGTGATAGACCTCTAATGAGGTAATACATAATCATGGAAGCACTGTTGTCAACTTTTGCCATCTCGATGCTCGTGGATGTATTTCGCTTGTCGCTTCGAGACAAATGAGTGACGTTTTTATTTATAGCTTCACTATATGAGCCCGTGTAGAAAGCAATAGCAAATGCGTACGCTTGTGCATCATCTTTGTTAATACCTTTATCACTAAAGTAGGCGTACGACTTTTGACACGTTTTATAGTTAATGTCAGTTTCATTTCCTTTGCTGAATCTTCAACAAGCTTCACGCAGATTATCAAACGATGGTTTTACACTTCCACGCATCATTTTCTCGAGTATTGGCCCAATATGATCTTCGAACACAGCATATTCGTTTCGTTTATCGAGAAGTTCAGCGACATTCTGATAAAGCTTAGTTCCATTCATATACAGTTCAACAGCGTCCGATTGAAAATCCCTTGAGGATCGTTTTTTCTCGAAATTGGGTACGAAACCAACCCGATGCATGTAACAACAGTGTGTCTTTCGTGCATATGGATCGTCATCAATAGCGTCTACTTGAATCATCTTGAGTAGTTGCATATTCGTGTTACGTTGTCTTAAGCGCTGTGCCTCATTTTCACTCATTACCGACTGTGAAATTTCTTCAGAGTAACGCGACATTTTCTCCACGAGTTATATATAATTTTTCGGAAAAAGAGAAAGATCTAAAAAATAGTTAAAAGAAGTTATTTCTAGGAGCCATTGCACGGCAGGCACGAGCAACAGTGTTCAGTCAATCTCACGAAATTCGATGAAACTTTGCCTATATGTAGCCCCACGTGAGATATAAAAACGCTCAAAATTTCACCTTCTAAAACCTTTTTCTTCTTGAGACATCGCAATCACAATAGAGGCACTCTCAGCTAAAAAGTGACAATAATCAATGTAGTACCTATAAGTTGTATATTTCGCCATTATTCAACAATAACGCTTTTAGTCTTGAATTTTTGTGGGTATATACTACCGTGGGTACCGTACATACTCAAAATCATTTTTCGAAGTGTTAACCAATATAGAGGTATTTTATAAACCCAAGATATCCCATCAACCTTGTGATCAAGATTTCTACCGGTTATGGGCGACTTATAAGCTCCTGCTTTGAAACTAAGTACTACTGCCTCTCAGCTATTAGCAGCAATTTTCAAAACCTTGGGTATTTGCTTTTGCCCCGAACAAAAATCTTTTCTATTATATATAAAGGCTTATTTGGGTAACATTAGGGTCCACTTCTGCAAAAGTCGCCAAGTAGAGATCAGCAGATTCTACTCATTTTGAGATATGTTGTAGAGGGAACAGTTTTAAAATTTTGACGCAAATCATTTCAAAAACTATTGTTCCATTATCGAGATATTTAAATTTTTCTAACAGCACTATGATCATGCAATAGTCACATTTTGAATGATTTGCATGATCTGATCTCCCACGACATAGGATGTGTAGAAGTTGGACTCATATGGGTTTGAAGTACCCACTGAGTAGTGCAAAGTTATCAACAACTTGCCATGAGATCTCCCAGAAGGTCCTGGGGTACTGGTTGAAAAATACAGAAAACTGAGACCTCTCTATAGAAAAAGTACCCGAGGTTGGGTGTGGGTGTGGTGATACGTTTGGATGCCAGCGTTGATACGAGTTTAGATCTTTTTTGATGCACACCGACATCCACTACATTCCTATGCTCACACATCCACACTCACATCCGCTTCTTTCAATTTCAACATAAACTAAGTAATTACCGTACTTGGAATCAGCATAGAAAATGCGTCATTCGATGCACATTTGAGCAAGGGTAAATTTTTACAAGAGTTGCGTCCCGGCGCCCACAGGCAAAACCCTGGAAAAGTAATGCTGACGTTAACCTAGGCATCTTTTTAGTGAAACGTTATTTTTGCTAGTTGTATGATATGATGTATTATTGATGCTGATGCCAAAAACGGTATGTGTTTCATGATAAAATTGAAATTAGATTAAAATCGCATAGGATATTGACTTTCCGGTGCAGCTGAAATTATCACTATTTTAGGATATTGCGGAAGACATGAACTTTAGAAAAGAATTTATGTTTCTGAAAATTATCTAGATTTATAAAACGCCATACCGGCCAATTTTCGATTATAAATATTTCCAGTGACCATTTGGGGTATTTAAATATAGCAGTGATGTGCATAAGTATATATTTTATATGAGAACCATATTTATTGAAACCCTTTTATCCTGCATAATCTAAGAGGAGTTTAAGACACGCATGATCACTATGTCATTTTGTCCAGCATGAAAAACTCCGTTGATCTCACCTATTACTCTTCAATTTGTGTTTAAGAAAGAGAAAAATGATATGCATCATAATATATTTACAGAAGTGTCCAACAGTGATAGGCCCCCTTAGACTACTTACTATGTGACATGTTTTCTGTATTCAATAAAAAATGAAACAAGTATATAGAAATGTGTAGAATTTGACGCTCTATCAGTCTATCCTGATGAAAGTAAAATATATGGTAGTATCAGATTAACGACCTCGCCTAACGGTATCCTTTTCGCACCTATTGGTACTCGTGCAATGTTTATTGTGCTCCTTTTTGTTGAATAAATCCGATTGTTCGTTTTATAAAGAAGTTAGCGGAAGCACAATATCACATGATGAGATCTATACTGTAGAACAAAAAGAAATGGCAGGCCGCCACGGCAGTACGTGAGGAGACTGACATAGACTTTATGACCACGTTTCGGAATATCTTTCATACTTTCTGCTATCTCGTGATCACTGAAAATAATTTATGCCCCTCCAAAGATAGAAGTTCAGATAGTAGATTGTCTATAGTAGGAGAGCAGCAGTCTTTAGAATACGAACTTGCAATCACCATATCGATGATCACATTTAACAAAGCAGTCCAATTTCTATCACAAGAACTCCCGCAAAAAGCGGTGACTGCGAACATAATTTCGCTTATCTAATTGCTTTCAAGTAACTGAGTTCAACGGAACAAAACAATGCAGAGCTCTTCTTGTTGTTTCTCAAGACTATGACATCAATAGAAAGCGTAATAATAAGCGCTGAAGAATTTTACGAGAAGAGAATGAATTCTCTCTGTTGTGTAGCAAAGAAAAGAGGCTGCTTGTCGCTCGTGATTTCGTTGTTTTGTGTTTATGAAGAATCTCATTGAATTCGTCATATCCATATTTTACTCCACAAAAACAAAAAAAAAGAAGTTTTATCCTGTGTTTATCTCGATAGCAAAGCCTACAACCGAAAGACGTCATTACCTAAAAGGCATTCTGAGAGAATGGGGTGGAAACTATTTCTTTTCTACGAAAAATACGAGAGACATTGTTCGTTGCTTTTTATTGCATCTCGGGATGTGGGCGTGGATGAGGTCTGGATGTGAGAATGAGTTGGGTATGAGTGTGTGCAGTTGCGGATGTGACTACAGAGAACAGCCACCCATGCTCACGCCCACACCCTGTAATGAAACGCATTATTATTTTT